GGATTACGGGCATGAGCCACCTCACCCAGCCTGGGCTATTTTATTTTGTAAATAACCTTCATCATTTTTGTGTCAGTATCAGCTGACACTCCCTGCTCCTACCAGCTCACCTCACAGTATTCGAGGTGCCCTTAAGTTTTGCTAAAGACTATGTTTTATGTGTCAGGCACTTTTGTGGCTGAGGCACTGTGTAGGGGGTCCTGGGAGGATGGGGCTGGATGAGCTGAGCTGAGGGCATTGGGGATTTTAGGGACAGGGACAGGAGGTAGGATGCCATTGTCCTCAGGAAGAGGAGCATGGAGAAGAAAAGAGAATTTTAAACAAAGAAATGTGGGGGTGTTTGGCTCTGCACAAGCCAGGGGATGACATGAGTCTCTCCTCTGTCACCCCAGAAAAACCTCGCTATGACCTGTGTAACATCAAGGAATCACGAAGCTTGGGAGTCAGGAATGGTTCAGGAATTGAATGACGTTCTTGAGAATGGCCTCAAGGCTAGCTACCCGTGTCATATTTGGGTAACATTATTTTGTCTTTTGTTATTTTTCTTTTTGAGATGGAGTTTCACTCTTGTTGTCCAGGCTGGAGTGCGGTGGTGCAATCTCGGCTCACTGAAACCTCCACCTCCCAGATTCAAGCCATTCTCCTGCCTCAGTCTCCTGAGTAGCTGGGATTACAGGCACGAGCCACCACCCCCGGCTAATTTTGTATTTTTAATAGAGATGGGGTTTCTCCATATTGGTCAGGCTGGTCAAGTGATCCGCCTACCTCAGTGATCCGCCCACCTCAGCCTCCCAAAGTGCTGGGATTACAGGTGTGAGCCACCACACCAGCTATTTTTTCTTAAAGATGGGTTCTCGCTGTGTCACCCAGGCTGGAGTGCAATGGCACTGTCATAGCTCACTGCAGCCTCAAACTCCTGGGCTCAAGCATCCTCTGGCCCCACCCTCCCAAGTAGCTGGGACTCTACAGGTGCATGCCACTGTGCCTTGCTTTTTCTTTTTTTCTTTTCTGTAGAAACAGGAGTCTCACTGTTGCCCAGGCTGCTCTCAAATTCCTGGCCTCAAGTCATCCTCCCACCTTGGCCTCCCGAAGTGTTGGGATTACAGGTGGAAGCCATCATACCCGGCCTGGTTATATTTCTTTAATTCAAAATCAGGCTTCAAAGAGTCAGTTAGTGGGTTCCCTAAAAGTTTATCTTTCACCCTGTAGCTGTGGCCTGCTTCCCTTCCCTCTGTCTCTTTTTCTTTATTTATTTCTTTTTTTTTTTTTTTTATTTTTTGGGAGACAGAGTCTTGCTCTGTCACCCAGGCTGGAGTGCAGTGGCACAATCTCGGCTCACTACAACCTCCGCTTCCCAGGTTCAAGCGATTCTCCTGCTTCTGCCTCAAGAGTAGCTGGGATTACAGGCATGTGCCACCATGCCCGGCTAATTTTTGTATTTTTAGTAGAGATGGGGTTTCACTATGTTGGCCAGGCTAGTCTTGAACTCCTGACCTCAGGTGATCCACCCGCTCAGCCTCCCAAAATGCTGGGATGACAGGCGTGAGCCACCGCTCCCGGCCTCCTCTGTCACCTTTCCCGTGTTGCAACATCTTTTCTCCCTGGAAGAGGTATTGGCGTGTAAGTAGCAGCAAAGCCTCCTCTGTTTCCTAGTGGCTACCCCTCCCCAGAAGACATTCACAGGCCAGGCCTCACAGTGTCTTACTTAAACCTCTCCTCAAAGCTGATCTGTTCTTTTGCTCATTGTATATTTATGACCGAGAGATTAGTCATGCCTGGATTCAAACCTGTCTCTGTGAATCTATTACAGGAAAGGGATCTAATCCAAACCCCACGAGAGGGCTCCTGAATCTCACCCAAGAAATAATTCAGGGCGAATCCACAGTGTAAAGCAAGAGCAAGTCTATTAAGAGAGTAAAAAAATAAAAGAATGGCTACTCAGGCAGGGTGCAGTAGCTCACGCCTGTAATCCCAGCACTTCGGGAGGCCGAGGTGGGCGGCTTACAAGACCATCCTGGCCAACATGGTGAAACCCTGTCTCTACTAAAAATACAAAAAAATTAGCTGGGTGTGGTGGTGGGTGCCTGGAATCCCAGGCTACTTAGGAGGCTGAGGCAGGAGAATCGCTTAAATACAGGAGGTGGAGGTTGGAGTGAGCTAAGATCTTGCCATTGCACTCCAGCCTGGGCAACAGGACTCTATCTAAAAAAAAAGAATGGCTACTCCATACACAGAGCAACCCCTCCCTGCCAGGCTGCTGGGTGCCCATTTTTATGGTTATTTCTTGATGATAGGCTAAACAAGGGGTGAGTTATTCATGCCTCCCCTTTAGACCATCCAGGGTAACTTCCTGACGTTGCCTTGGCATTTGTAAACTGTCATGGCGCTGGTGGGAGTGTAGCAGTGAGGATGACCAGAGGCCACTCTCGTCGCCATCTTGGTTTTGGTGGCTTCTTTACTGCAACCTGTTTCATCAGCGAGGTCTTTATGACCTGTGTCTTGTGCTGACCTCCTGTCTCATCCTGTGACTTAGAATGCCTTAACCATCTGGGAATGCAGCCCAGTAGGTCTCAGCCTCATTTTACCCAGTTCCTATTCAAGATGGAGTTCCTCTGGTTCACACATGCTGACAAATCCAAAACTCATGTCCTTAATGCTCTGCCAATCCAAGCCCTCACCACTATTGCTGTGGGCGGGGAAGGGGTGAGCCAGGTGAACGGCACCCAGGAGTGCGGGGAGCTTCGATAAAGCCCGGGCTAAGCCTCCATCTTGGTGGGGGAGGGCACTGTCTGAGCCAGCTTGGATGAAAAATGGAAGGTGGGGGGCCACCCCCCTGGAGACAGGCCACTGGAGAGTCACTTCTAGGCTTGTTCAATTAAAAAAAGAAGGCCAGGCATGGTGGCTCATACCTGTAATCCTAGCGCTTTGGGAGGCCAAGGCAAGAGGATTTCTTGAGCAAGACAGGTCAGGACCAGCCTGGGCAACATAGTGAGACCCCATCTCTACAAACAATATTTTTTTTAATAGTTGGGAGTGGTGGTATGCGCCTGTAGTCCCAGCTACTCTCAAGGCTGGAGCAGAAGGATCACTTGAGGCCAGGAGTTCAAGGCTGCAGTGAGCTGTGATCGCACCACTGCACCCCAGCCTGGGTGACAGAGCAAGACTCTGTTTCAAAAAATAAAATAAATAAAATAGAAATTAAAAAAAAGAAATTGTACAGCACCTATGACCTCGGCAAATTCTCCCAGCAGCCCTGGAGTGGAGTTATCACTCTCACCTTCAAGAAGAGGCTCAGAGAGGGACACGACAGGCCCCAGGTCACAGGACGACTCAGGACAGTGCAGGATGAGTGCTCGTCTGGAGCTTCAAAGCTCAAGCTCTTGCCTCAAGCCCAGCTCCCTCTAAAAAAGAAGCAGCGCTCTGAGAAGGGCCTGCAGGGAGGTGACATCTGTGGCAGAGGCTGGCTGAGGCTCCGGGAGCAGAGACAGGAGGCAGCTGGTCCCTGCTGAGCAAAAGGAGAGTTCTGTAAGATGGATAGGGAGTATCAGAGGCCCCCACCCCCTGCCACCAACTTGATTGATGATGAGCACAGTCCTGCTGCAGAGATGAGCAGCAGGACCTCCTGGAGGCTGCAGAGGGGAGGACGAGGAGAGGCTGTGAATATTTCAGCCACAGAGGCAGGGCTGAAGGAAAGGAGAGGAAAGGGGGCAGGGAGGCACTCAGCCAGCCAGAGGGTGCTCTGGGACTAGGACACCCAGGTGAGGAAAGACCCACAGCAGTGAACTGGGGCTCAAGGAGGGCGGGGCTAGGCCAGGAGGAAGGGGCTCTTTGAGAAATTAGGGTTCAGGCGGGGCGAGGTGGCTCATGCCTGTAATCCCAGTACTTTGGGAGGCCGAGGTAGGCAGATCACTTGAGGTCAGGAGTTCGAGACCAGCCTGGCCAACATGGTGAAAATCCATCTCTACTAAAAATACAAAAATTAGCTGGGTGTGGTGGCAGACGCCTACTCGGGAGGCTGAGGCAGGAGAATCACTTGAACCCAGGAGGGAGAGGGGTTGCAGTGAGGTGAGATCAGGCCCCTGCACTGCAGCCAGGGCAACAGAGTGAGACTCTGTCTCAAAAAGAAAAAGAAAGAAAGCGAGAGAGAGAGAAAGAGAGAGAGGAAAAGAAAAGAAAAGGAAAGAAAAGAAAGAAGGAAGGAGAGAGAAATTAGGGTTCAGTGAGGGAAAGGAGGGGCTGGGATGGGGTTCCCGGAATAGGACAGTAGGGTTAGGGGCACAGGGACCAAATGTGGGGTTCACTGAGGGGGAGGGCTTCAATGAATCGGGCTGGGATATGGAGGGGATTCAGTGAGGAAGAGGAGCCTCATATAAGGAGTAGGCACACTCCCCACCCCGACCACGGCAGGGTGGCTCATGCCCAGAATCCCAGCACTTTGAGAGATCAAAGGGGAGGATCCCTAGAGGCCAGTAGTTCGAAACCAGCCTGGGCAGTATAGTGAGACCCCCAACTCCGCAAAATTTTTCAAATTAGCTAGGGTGGTGGTGAACGCCTGTAGTCCCAGCTACTCATGAGGCTGAGGAGCGCGGATTGCTTGGGCCCAGGAATTCAAGGCTGCAGTGAGCTATAATCCCACCACTACACCCCAGCCTGAGCAACAGAGCAAGACCCTGTCTCCACAATTAAAAAAAAGAGGAGGGGGCTCACTGAGCTGGTGAGAACTTAGAAGGGGTGCAGGCTAAATCAGGGGCTCGGTTCCTCTCTTTCTTTTTTGCAAAAGATTGTGCCGTGAGGTTGGGGACCTGCAGGGGACGTGTCTCGTTGGGTTCCCCAAATATCTGCCTGGCCCTGTAAAGGCAGGGGCCACAGGTCCCCTCGCCCCTCCTCCCGCCGGGTAGCAGCTCGCAGACCTGGGGGGCTGGTTCAGGCCCCGCGCGCCGGGGAAAGGGGCGGAGAAAGCGCGTCCCGAGACGGGTGGTGAGCGTCCCTGTCGCCGGCAGCATGGCGGAGACCCCGCGGCTGACCGAGGGCGCCGAGCCGGGCCTGGAGTACGCGCCCTTCGACGACGACGACGGCCCGGTGGACTGTGACTGCCCGGCCGCCTGCTACCGCGGCCACCGCGGGTACAGGTCAGCGGCCGCCGCGGCGGGGGTGGGGGGCGCGCAGGGCTGCCCCCCCTCACCGCCCCCACCCCCGCCCCTTCTCCCCCAGGACCAAGCACTGGTCTAGCAGCTCGGCATCGCCCCCTCCCAAGAAAAAGAAGAAAAAGAAAGGCGGCCACCGGAGAAGCCGGTGAGAGCCGCGCCTGGCCGGAGCGGGAAGGGAGGGGGGCGGTGGGGTCTCTCCCGGGGTTCCCGTCCCTGGCCCGCAGGCGAACCCCAACCATGCCTCATTTGTGAGCCCCGCACCTCTCTGCGCCCCTCCCTCGCCCTCACCCTGCGACTAAATACGCTCCAGGTGACTGAACCCATCCCAGGCCTCAAGCTCCTCCCCTTCTCTAGGCCCCGCCCCTCAACGAGCCCCTCCCCTTTGCCAGGTCCCGCCCCCACCGAGCCCCTCCCCTACTCTAGGACCCACCTCTAATAGAGCTCCTCCCCCACTAGGCTCCACCCCTCATCAAGCTCCTCCCCTTCCCTGGGACCCGCCCCTCACTGAGCCCCTACCCTACTCTAGCACCTGCCCCTCACTGAATCCCCAGAGCCAGACTCACTGACCAGGTCCATGTGTTACCAGCACCTGCTCCCAGTCCCCTTTGCCCTCCCCCAGGGCTCCTGTGCCCACCACCACCAGTGCCAGTGGCCCTGGGGAGGACGGGCCTCATCTGCCATCCCAGCATCTCTCTGTCCACCCTCTCCTGTCCTGCGTGAGACCCTGGCAAGTGTCTGAGGCCCCAGCTAACCCTATCCATCCGTCTGTCCTTTCTCCCTGGCATCTGCTCTCAGCAAAAAGAGGAGACTGGAGTCCGAGTGCAGGTCAGTTGGGGCAGAGCTGGCTGGGACCAGGGTGGTGGATGTCTGTGGGTGGGAGAGATGCCAAGGTCATCTCTCAGAGGCCTGCATCCTCAGGGCCTGCACCCTGGACACTGCCAAGGTGCCAGCTTTGCCCCTAAAGAGGCCATGAATCCCACCATTGGAGCCTTTGAACTCTGAGTTTGAAACTGTCTTTGCCTACAATGCCGGGGGGAGCGCTGGAAGGGTGACTTGGGGACAACATAGGCAGCGCCATCAACTACCCTGAGGGACCTTGGTGACTCTTGGGGCCTAGGGTCACTCTGTACAGGGGGCCTTGGGCTTCATGGCCTGGAATCCCCTTTCCAGCTTCAATGTCCCAAGCACCCAGGCCTCTCCAGCCATTTCCAGCCCCTCAGCCCCCACCCCAGCTCACAAGAGCCCACCCCACTGTGTCCACAGCTGTGGGAGCTCCTCACCCCTCCGCAAGAAGAAGAAGAGTGTGAAGAAACATCGCCGAGACAGGTACCCTTGCTGCCCCACCGTGGGGCCTCCTCTTCCTTCTGTGGGGCCCAGGGCCAGGGCTGTGCCCCTCCAAAGGCGTTCCCTTGGCCACCCCACGCAGGCTCAAGAGAAATTCTTTATCGCCCTACAGGTCTGATTCTGGGTCCCGGAGGAAGAGACGGCACAGGTGAGCAGTGCTTTGCAGAGGATACGGACAGTGGTCCCTGAAGGGACCAAAGCCCAAAGGACACAATGATGGGAGTGGGGTTCTGATGGTCCCACTGGGCTCCATCCTTCAGCTCCAGGGTTCCTTCCCAGGCTGGGGGGACTGGGCAGTGGACGAGGTGCATGAAAACTGTTTGCAACCCTTACCTGCCTCATGCATCAGCCATGGCATGGGGACCCCAGGAATTTCCCGGTCCAATGCCCAGGGGGTGCGTCTGTCTGTGGAGGTGCTGGTTAGACAAGCAGAAACACCAGGACCCCGAATTTGCAGGGAAAGAGCTTGAGAGGCAGGAGGACCTGCATGAGCTGGGAAGGCTCCATAGATAGGAGGCAGAGTGGGGAGCTGTGGCTAGAGGTAGAGTTTCAGGGGACAGATGCTAGCCGCCCAGCAAGGTTGACGGCCAAGTTACGGAGTCATCCGCCACCCAGAAGGGCTAGACGCTGGCGTGGAGGGGCTCTGAGCAGGGCAGTGGCTTGTTCAGGGTGGACTGGGGGAGGGGAGAGGAAGTGAAAGGCAATATCCCAGGCGGAGGCAAAGTGATCCAGGAGAATAGCGTTGATGAGAAAGCAGAAAACTCAGCCTGAGCCAGGCATGGTGGGTCACGCCTGTAATCCCAGCACTTTGGGAGGCTGAGGCAGGCAAACTGCTTGAGCCCAGGAGTTTGAAACCAGCCTGGTCAACATGGTGAAATCCTGTCTCAACTAAAAATACAAAAATTAGCTGGGTATGGTGGCAAGTGCCTACTCGGGAGGCTGAGGCAGGAGAATCGCTTGAACCCGGGTTACAGAGGTTGCAGTGAGCCGAGATCACACCACTCCAGCCTGGGCGACAGAGTGAAACTCTGTCTCAGAACAACAACAACAAAAAAGACCGGGTGCAATGGCTCATGCCTGTAATCCTAGCACTTTGGGAGGCCGAGGTGGGTGGATGGTTTGAGGTCAGGAATTTGAGACCAACTTGGCCAACATGGTAATACACCCATTTCTACTGAAAATACAAAAATTAGCCAGGCATGGTGGTGGGCACCTGTAATCCCAGCTACTTGGGAGTCCAAGGTAGGAGAATCGCTTGAACCCAGAAGGCAGAGGTTGCAGGGAGCTGAGATCACACCACTGCACTCCAGCCTGGGTGACAGAGCAAGACTCCATCTCAAAAAAAGAAAAGAAAAGAAGGGAAGGGGAAAGGAAAGGGAAAGGAAAACTTGGAAGGAAGAAAGTTGTCTGGCAGTCACATTCCAGGGGTGGCATCGGAGCCAGAGCCCCTCCCAGCAGCCCAGAGGAAGGGCAGAGTCCTGGGTTCCTTCCTTGCAGTGGGAATTTGCCAGTTAGGGAGGAGCCTAAATAAACACCTAAACCTGCCCCTCCAATGTCCCCAATTTTCATCTTCCCCTGACCTCCCAGTGCCTGTGGGCCATTGTGGGCCCCTACTGCCCCCAAGTGGCCACCATTAGCTTACACACACCCTTTGGCCAGCTCCCGTCCTAAAAGTGAACTAGGGCTAGACCAGCTTCAATGGGGAGGCTGAAGCCCAAAGCAGGCTCCAGCACCCACACCCTTCACCTCCCAGGCCTGCCCCACACTCACTCTGCTCCTGCAGGAAGCACATTTCTGTGTTTCTTAGCATGGCTTTGTTCTGGGGTCAGAAGGACTGAAGGGATCTAGTACCAGAGAGGTTGGGGCTGGGGATTGGGGTCGGGTGAGACCTTTGAGGGCTCATCAGAAGCATCAGGCCTTTCATCAAAGGTAGAGGGTGCTGGGCTGGGGGGCTTGCCACAGAGGGCTAGATGGGAGGAGACGGGAGGCTGTGGGAGTTGGGAGGGGCAGAGATGGATCCAGAGATGTCATTGAAAAGGAGGGAGATTGGCGAGGCACGGTGGCTCTCGCCTGTAATCCCAGTAGGTTGTAGGGCTGAGGCAGATGAGGCCAGGAGTTCAAGAACAGCCTGGCTAACATGGTGAAATCCCGTCTCTACTAAAAAAACAAACGAACAAAAAATATCCAGACATGGTCGGGCGCGGTGACTCACACCTGTAATCCCAGCACTTTGGGAGGCTGAGGCAGGTGGATCACGAGGTCAGCAGTTCGAGACTAGCCTGGCCAAGATGGTGAAACCCCATCTTTACTAAAAATGCAAAAATTATCCAGGTGTGATGGTGGGCACCTGTAATCTCAGCTACTTGGGCTCATGCCTGTAATCCCAGCACTTTGGGACGCTGAGGCAGAGAATTGCTCAAACGTGAGAGACAGAGGTGGCAGCGAGCTAAGATCGTACCACTGCACTCCAGCCTGGGAGACAGAGCAAGACTCTGTCTCAAAAAAAAAAAAAAAAAAAAAATAGCCAGACGTGGTGGCAGGCAACTGTAATCCCAGCTACTCAGGAGACTAAGGCATGAGAATCACTTGAACCTGGGAGGCGGAGGTTGCAGAGAGCCAAGATTGTGCCACTGCACTCCAGCCTGGGCAACAGAGTGAGACTCCATCTCAAGAATAAAAAAAGCAGGGACATCGTTCCTTTGGGAAAGCATTTCTTTCCTAAACTGGTGGTGAGCTGGCCTAGGTCTGGGCCACAGTCTGGGAACACAGGGAGGAAGGGGCACGGGAGGCATGAATGTCAGGCCACACCCCAGTACTCACTTATCTAGGGAATGAGTATTGGGCATGTCCCAGGTCCAGTACCAAAGACAAGAGCAAATGAATAATTCCACCTGGCCCAGACCGGAAGCCTGCGGCTGTCAGACCTGCAAACAACACCCCCCTTTATCTGGGGCCAGCCATGCTTCTGAGAACAAGTACTCTCAGGCCAGGACAGGACTTAGAGGAGGAGGAAGGACCACAGCTTGGCCGAGTGAAAGGGACAAAGGGGTGGGGTAGGATGGAAAAGTCCCCACCAGCCGGGGGGCTCAGGCCCTAGAAAGGAACAAATCTGAGATCCACACCTGGGCACAGCCAGGCTCCAGGGCACAAAGGCCACGCCCTCCCCGGGCTGCACCATCACTGTGGTCTCTGCTCTCTGCAGATCTCGAAGCTCCAAGAGTAAAAGAAAAGAGAAGAACAAAGAGAGGAAGAGGTAAGCGCCCTCCCTTCTCTCCAGCCCCCAATTCAATCTCCCTCCTGCCCCAGCAAACTAGGCCTTTTAAAATCACAGAATCGGGCCGTTAAGTGTAGCTCATTTTGGGCCAGGTGTAGTGGCTCACACCTGTAATCCCAGCACTTTGGGAGGCCGAGGCACACGGATCACCTGAGGTCGGGGTTCAAGACCAGCCTGACCAATATGGAGAAACCCCGTCTCTACTAAAAATACAAAATTAGCCGGGCGTGGTGGCGCATGCCTGTAATCCCAGCTACTTGGGAGGCTGAGGCAGGAGAATGGCTTGAACCCGAAAGGCAGAGGTTTTGGTGAGCCGAGATGGCGTCATTGCACTCCAGCCTGGGTAACAAGAGCAAAACTCTGTCTCAAAAAAAACAAAGTAGCTCATTTTCCCCAGCCAGGTAAATTCAGATGTAGGGAGAAAGCCAAGGGTCCTTGCTGATTGAGGCAGGAGAATCGCTTGAACCCAGGAGGCGGAGGCTTTGGTGAGCAGAGATTGCACCATTGCACTCCAGCCTGGGCAACAAGAATGAAACTCCACCTAAAAAAAAAAAAAAAAAAAAAAAGTAGCTCATTTTCCCCAGGTGGGAAAATTTAAATCTGGAGAGAAAGCCAAGGGCCCTTGCTGAGTCAGAGCTGGAACCGAATCCCAGTCCTCTTGCCTTCCAAACCAGGGTCCTTCCAAACCCAGTCCTCGTGACTCCCCCGCCCTCCTTCCTCCCACCCCACAAGTCCCAGGACCACCTGGTGAGGGCTGGGGAGGGGGTCTTAGGAGCTGGGGCTTTCTAGAGAAAAGGGGGCCTTTTCCTAATTCTCACGGATGAGCAATATGGACCAGATAGGCTCTGCAGCCAGCACCAATCCCGCTGAAGTTCCTTTTCTAGGACACTTTAGGGGACTCATGAACACTGGCTTTCAGTAGGGCTCCACTGGGATCCTGGTGGAAGGTCAGGCAACTTGGGGGCTGGAGGATCATGGGGGGCAGAATTGAGGTACAGGCTGATTTCCCTCATCCACGCCAGGCCTCACACAGAGTCCCCAGGCCGGAGGTCTCACCGCCACAGCAGCGGCAGCTCCCACAGCCCCTCCCTGTCCTCCCACTACAGTGATTCCAGATCTCCTAGCAGGTAAGCCTGGGCCTCTGGGAGGCTTTCTCCTGGTGGGGGATGAGGGTTGCAGATTAAACACCCTCCAGGGCTGGGGAGCAGGGCTGGTGGACAGAATGTCAATTCATCAGTGGGGAGAAGTTTATCGGGGTGGCCAGGTGCGGTGGCTCATGGCTGTGATCTTAGCACTTTGGGATGCCAAGGCAGAAGGATCGCTTGAGACCAGGAGTTCAAGACCAGCCTGGGAAACATAGTGAGACCCCCTTCTTTAATTAAAATTAGGCGTAGCGGTGGCTCATACCTGTGATCCCAGCACTTTGGGAGGCAGATCACCTGAGGTCTGGAGTTCAAGACCTACCTGACCAACATGGAAAAACCCCATCTCTACTAAAAATACAAAATTAGCTAGGTGTGACGGTGCACGGCCGTAATCCCAGCTTCTCAGGAGGCTGAGGCAGGAGAATCACTTGAACCTGGTGGGGCGGAGGTTGCAGTGAGCCCAGATGGCACCATTGCACTCCAGCCTGGGCAACAAAAGTGAAACACCCCCCCAAAAAAAAAAAAAAAAAAAAAAAAAAAGTAATTATAATATTTTTTTTTTTGAGACGAGTATTGTTCTGTTGCCCAGGCTGGAGAACCGTGGCCCATTCTTGGCTCACTGCAACCTCTGCCTCCCAGATTCAAGCAATTCTCCAGCCCCAGCCACCCAAGTAGCTAGGATAACAGGCTTGCACCACCACGCTCTGCTGATTTTTGTATTTTTAGTGGAGATGGGGTTTTGCCATGTTGCCTAGCCTGGTTTCCAATTCCTGACCTCAAACGATCCGCCTGCCTCTGCCTCCCAAAGTGCTGGGATTACAGGCAAGTGAGCTGCTAAGCCCAGCCTAATAATAATTTTAACAAGAGAAATTGATAGCTTGAGGAAGAGCCGCCCTAAGGCCCCTCAGCCTCCACCTGCATCGGAAACCCAGGCACAGCCCGGCTGGCTCACCCTGGTCAAGCCCTCTCTAAGTGGAAAGGTTCCCAGCGCGGTGAAAGGGTGGATGGGGTGGGGTCCGCCCTCCTGCCCCGTGCACCGGGGATGCGGGGAAGGGGAGGCGCAACCCCTTGCAAAGTGGGTGTCCCACGCCGGCTCCACCATTCTCCCTGGCCCCCGACCCCAGGCTGAGCCCCAAGCACCGAGACGAAGGGCGAAAGACGGGCAGCCAGCGGTCCAGCGGGAGCCGGTCGCCTTCCCCGTCCGGCGGCAGCGGATGGGGGTCGCCCCAGCGGAACGGCGGCAGCGGGCAGCGGAGCGGAGCGCACGGGGGCCGCCCCGGCTCGGCGCACAGCCCGTCCGATGTACGTACGCTTCGCTTTGCGGAGGTTCCCGCGCCGCGGGCTGCGCCGTGGGTCCGGCGGGTCGCCGGCGGGGCAGGGGGCGGTGAGTGCGGCTCGGGGCGGGGGCGGCCGCTTCCTCCCTCCTCGGCTCCCCGCTGAGGGTGTCCTGGCTCGGGAGCCGCCGGGAGTGCTCGGCGGCTGCGCCCACCAGGCCCTGGTGTCAGGGTGGGGGGCGCCTGCGGTCTTGGGCCACCCTTGCGCTTGGCAAACTGAAGGCCAGAGGGAAGTTGATCACCAGACACTGAGTTGGGTACAGAGCTGGGGAGGAATCAATGTCTCGTGCCCACCCCAGGCATATTAGGGTGGGAGGGGCATTGGTAGGAGTCCCAGGCAGGAGCAGGATTCGAGAGACAGGACCCCCGGCTGGGCACCATCTGGGCCCTGAGTCTTCCTCTCCCCACCAAGCCCTGGCCCCACCCCTGAGCACCCCTCCCCCTCCCTCAACCTTCTCCCAGCCCCTGTCTCCCCCAGCCCCTCCCGCATCTCAGTCCCTTTGCCCCACAGAACTGCGTTTCTAAAGTCCCTGCTCCAAGGAGACTCTGCCCTTTTCCTGGCACCGCCCACACTTGGACAGGTGTCTCAAACCTGCTGGCTCCTCTTCCCAAGGCCACCCTCCTAAGGCACCCTGCCAAGGTGCCTCAGAGATCCCACACCAACACCACCTCCCCCAAACTGTCCCCACCCTTCCTCCAGGAGGGGCACAGATGCCTGAAGACCTACAGGCAGGGGCGGTGGAGGGGCTGGCAGAGGAGAAAGACTGTCTCAGCCTGTACTTAGGTGGATGGGCTGGGCCCGGGTGAGGGCTTCTCCCAGACACCAGGGAAGGTCCACATCCCCTTCCGGTGTGTTGATTATAGAGTACACCATTGAGACCCCTCAGAGAGAGGGGGCTGCAGTGCTGGCAGGGGCACTGGGGTGGGTGGGGGGGTGGCTTGGAGTGGGGAGGCCTGCAGGTTCCTTTTCAGACCCCTAGACTGCCCCCTACCCAGCCCCAAAGCCTCAGCTGGGAGCCAGGAGCTGCCCCTCCCCAGACCTCAGGTCTCAGCAGCAAACATGTACGTGTTGGTCAGTTTCATTTTGATTTTTGGCTGTTTCCTTTCACTCCCTTTCTTTTCTCAAACACCCTTTACTCCCACGGCCTCAGAGAGGAAAGTCAAGGGCAGCTGACTGAAGGCTCTTGGTCTCAAGGTTAAGTTTTATTGAAGGATATTCACCTGTCTCTAGACTGTCCCACCTGGGCCAGATGCCAGGCTCCTGGGCTCTGGGGGTTTTGGTTGGGCCACGTAGGGAGGATGACACTGATGTCCCCGGATCTGTCTTGGGAGGGGGGGTGAGGGCAGGCAGACGTAGCTGATGGTAGCTTGGTAGAGGCTGGAGAGAATTAGCAAGCCCACAAGAGAGGCACCCACCACCCCCCACCCACCCCCGTAGGCATGGATTCCCAAGAGCACAGGACCCCAAACGCCTGCTCGCCAGCTTCTCGTCCACCCTCCTGGGGTCTCCAGAGAGACGCAGAGATGCAGGTTCTCTGAAGCCAGGGCTGAAAGTGGGTCCCTTCTTACTTCTGGTCCTCTCTTCAGCCCTGGAGTCCTGAGCAATGATCCTGCCTCCACCCCTCCCCAGTGCAGACAAAATGGTCACAGCAGCTAGGCAGACTCCCCAGGGACAGGGCAGTTGGGGAAGGGAACCCAGCCACCAGCCTAAGGGCAGGAGTTTCTGAAGCACCTACATCTTGTCTCCCTCCCAGCATGGGACTCTAGTTTGGCACAGCCCTGGGAGTTTTCTTGGAGATGGCATTTCATGAATCCTTTCACCAAGCACGGTCCCCAAATCCTATCCCTCCCCCTTGGGGCCCTGGGACATCTGGGACTTCAGAGCATCCCGGGTCTCAAACCTGCACTCAAATCCCTGCCTCTTTGTCTAAAAAAAAGACCTCTGAGGCGTCAAATGAGGCTAGTTCTCCCTCATTTTTGGAAAAGTGAGATGGGGGATGGGAGAGGGGTCCCAGACTTCACCATGAACGAAACTGTCCTTGGGAAAAAGTACTGGGGTTACCGGTATTCTTGGACGCTACCTTTAAAAAAAAAAAGAAAAGAAAAGAAAAAAGAGAGAGAGAAACAAACGGAAAAAAAAAAAAAAGGAAAGCTCAACATTTTTTAACCCCGTCTATGTTTTTGTTTTTTAGCCTACCATTTGAAACGTGGTAATACTGTGATTCCATTTCTTGCTTAGCTGGTGAGGGAAGAGGGTGGGCAAGTTTATGTGACTTTTCCTGTTGTTTTGTTTTTGTTTGTATTTCCTTTCCTTTCCTTTCTTTTCTTTTTCTTTTTTTATGTACAGAAATGCAAACTATCTCTCTGGGTTTTTTTGCCTATCTTTGATGTTCTAGAATTTTGCTTTTGTGTGTGTTACGGTGGGAACCTTTCCTCTTAATGCAGAGATGGCTTTTGAATTTTAAGTGAACATTAATCATATACACATCTCTATATACTTTCCCCCCTTGGTAATCTGGATTTAAAAGGGAAGATAACTCTAAAAAAAAGTCACGCCCACAACGACAGCTCCTGCCAAGTCAGCCGCGGCAGCAGCCTCCTTTCAACCCCAGGCACAGGCTGGAACTGCCGCAGATTTTAAATTAACTACAGTGGCGCAGCCTGTGCTGCTGCGTGCCCCAGGAAGGGGAAGACACTTATCCTTGGTCATCCAGGGAGCTTCTTGGAGCTTGCTGCTACTCCTTGGTTCAGTTTAGTATAATGGGCTGGACACGGGGCACAGGGAGGGGACAGGCTGTTCAGTACCATCAGTGTCAGACCCCAGACTCAGGTCCTTAGGAAACTGTGGAGGAGGGAGGGGTCTGAAGGCACCTGGCAGAGTTTAGCTGAGACACTCCAGGCAGGAGAAAATGTTTATCTTGTGCTGGGTGCAGTGGCTCACGCCTGTAATCCCAGCACTTTGGGAGGCTGAGGCGACTGGACCACCTGAGGTCAGGAATTCAAAACCAGCCTGACCAATATAGTGAAACCCAATCTCTACTGAAAATAAAAAAAGTCCAGCCGGGCGTGGTGGTTCACACCTGTAATCCCAGCACTTTGGGAGGCTGACACAGGCAGATCACCTGAGGTCAGGAGTTCAAGACCAGCCTAGCCAACATGGTGACATCCCATCTCTACTAAAAATACAAAAAAATTAGCTGGGCATGGTGGTACGTGCCTGTAATCCCAGCTACTTGGGAGGCTGAGGCAGGAGAATCACTTGAACCCGGGAGGCAGTGGTTGCAGTGAGCGGAGATCGAGTCACCGCACTCCAGCCTGGGCAACAGAGCAAGACTGTCTTGAAAAAATTTTTTAAATTAAAAATTAGCCAGGCATGTTGGTGGGCACCTGTAATCCCAGCTACTTGGGAGGCTGAGGCAGGTGGATCGCTTGAACTCGGGAGGCAGAGGTTGCCGTGAGGTGAGATGGTGCCATTGCACTACAGCCTGGATGACAAGAGTGAGACTGTGTCACAAGAAAAAAACAAAATTCCATCTTGGTCTTGAGACTGAGGCCAGTGACATAATCACTCCCAACAAATCCCTTCGTTGACCCGTCCCAGGTGATGATTGATTGGACCCCACAGGAATTTCTGTGTTCTGCTGCTTACAGAAGAAACTGCAGCTCAGAGAGTTCAAGTAACTCGCTGAAGGTCACACAGCATTAGAGGTAGCTCCAAAAGTAGCTCCCAGGTGGGGCACAGTGGCTCACACCTGTAATCTCAGCACTTTGGGAGGCAGAGGCAGGAGGATCACTTGACGTCAGGAGTTCCAGACTAGCCTGGTCAACAGAACAAGACTCTATCTCTACAAAAAAAAAATTTTTTTTTTAATCAGCCAGGCAGGGTGTCATGTGCCTGTAGTCTCACTTACTGGGGGAGATGAGGGAGGAGAATCACTTGAGCATAGGAGTCCGAGGCTGCAGTAAGCCATGATACCACCACTGCAATCCAGCCTGGGCGACATTGCAAGACCCTGTCTCTCTACAAAAATTTTAAAAGATTAGCTGGGCAAAGCTGGGCGTGGTGACTCACACCTGTAATCCCAGCATTTTGGGAGGCTGAGGTGGGCAGATCACAAGGTCAGGAGATCAAGACCATCCTGGCTAACACAGTGAAACCCCATCTCTACTAAAAATACACAAAAAAATTAGCCAGGCATGGTGGTGGGCACCTATAGTCCCAGCTACTCGGGAGGCTGAGGCGGGAAAATCACTTGAACCTGGGAGACGGAGGTTGCAGAGAGCCGTGATTGCACCATTGCACTCCAGCCTGGGCGACAGAGCAAGACTCCATCTCAGAAAAAAAAAAAAAAAAAAAAAATTAGCTGGGCATGGTTGAATACACCTGTAATCCCAGCTACTCAGGAGGCTGAGGAAGGGGGATTGCTTGAGCCCAGGAGTTTGAGGCTGCAGTGAGCCATGATTGTGCCACTGCACTTCAGCCTGGGCAACACAGCAAGACCCTGTCTCAAAGAAAAAAAAAAGAAAAGAAAAAATAGACTCCAGCCCTCTGACTCTGACCTCTAGTCCCCAGCCAGGCTGCGGAGAGGGTGGCAAATGGGGAGCATAGTCTAGGAGCCCTGAGTGGAAGGAGGATTTGGGAGGGGATGTTGGTTGTCTCAGCTCCTGCCTTCCCCATCAGACCCCTCCAGAAATCAGCATCCAGCCCTCTCAAGTCCTTAGACGGAGGTCTGCCCATACAAAGAGACCAGGGTGCAGGTGGCCCCCACATTACAGAAACTCACTCTATGTGACTGTACTTCAGTGACTCAGGGAACCCTAAGCCCTCACAGTTCATACATGTGGAGAAATAAATATGGAGGCACAGAGAGGGAAGACAGTCACTCAAGGTCACACAGCGTAGGATGGAAGAGGAAGAAACAGCAGGAGACCTCCTGGGGCAACCCCTTCCATCCAGTTTCACCTGGT